CTGCCACTGCCACTGCACCCGTCACCATGATACATAAGTCACCAATCAATTTCACCAGCAGCCTTAGGGACTCACCACATTTATTCAATACGTAATCGCTTTGAGCTGACCAGAAAAATCTTTATGTCCATGCAACACGAGCAAAAAAGATGTTGCACGATTTTTGTGATGGGCTTAAAGCGACTTTGTGTTGATAAGTGTGGTGACTCCCTTATCCTTTAAAACCGAAACGCACTAATGCTCATATTATTGCTTAGCGACAGAAAAAGGAAAGATGGCAGTATTTCCACGGACGAAGTTTTTCACAAGGCGCTCTACTGCTACGAAAACCTTGCAAACATTTGCTTTGTTAGGTACATAGTGTGATTATATAATTTATTTATTATTTAGTACGTAGGAATTTGCTGATCTTTGAAAACAAACGGATTGTAGCCGCCAGACCCAAGTAGAAGATGTACAGGATCTCGACGAGCTCGTAAAATTAAAGATGATTTAAGTTAACTGGAATAAATTGGCAATGGGTTACTGGTTTACAGGAGTAGTGCCATTAAATTGCTAAATAGTGGTGGTTTTTTATAGAAGTACAATCAAAACTGAATGTACTTTTTGACCTTTTTTAGTTCATACAAAAAGTTCGTTAAATTCTGGTAGGGACGAAATAACACGTATGTGGTGTTAGTTGATTGGTTCAAAATAGAACCACCGGCCTACGCCCTTGACGAGCGTTTAGTTACTGCTTCGAAAGTTATATTAAATTTTATTACAAAAATACTGTTGCGTTCGCAACACGGATCTATACTGTATTTCTTACTATACATTTTTAATACGTTTACTTTGAACCTTTGTACGAAAACACACATATTTGTTTAAGAAAGTCTGTGATGTCAATACTTAAGTCTGCAGAAACCCGTATTGTACTTGTACTTTATAATATCCCTATGACTGCTAAATACAGCAAAAGTTGTTTGATAATGTCTATCAACATCTACAATACCACTTGAGTTAGAATCTATTTTATTTGTCTGTTCTTGTAATAATTTAAAATATTAGAAACTACTTTTATTCCTTTGCGGTTTTAAATTTAAAACTTTCATTGGAGGTCGGTATTTACCATTTGAAAATGAATGAATGATTTATAAAAACGATTAAAATGGTTTTGTTATTATTATTTTAAGAGACAAAAAAAACGTACATAAATTTTTCGGGTTCGGTTGTTTCGACGATTTTTTTATTTGTAAAAGTGTGTAAACACAGTGAATAAAGTAATACTGAAGTTAAATGGTTGTATGTTACTGTATTTTTAATACTTGATTTTGAGTTATTGGATATTAAGGTTTACCAAACGAATTTACACCAGTAGTAAAATTAAAACTATTTGTATGACATAAACAAAACATTACCCAAAAAATAAAATGTAAACGAAAACGTAACTTTCATCATACTAAACATATTTTAATTTGTAACTTTGTAACTTGTGACATTCTTTTTGTTATAGTAATCAATTAATTTTGATTACTACACATTTGTATGCTATTTATTACGCAACACATTACGCAAAACATATTTTTATTGTACACTGTTTACAATTAAAAAAACTAATTGTTATAGACATTTACTACCATAAACTCGATTTTAAATACAGGTACAATACAACGAACGCAAGAAAGAATCTGGAATTCGAATTCGGAATATAATATGAGAGTGGAAACTGATGACAATAAATAACCGAGCAAATCAGTTGCAAAAACTATTCAGCTGTATTTAATTCACATCCAATAAAAATTAATCAAAGAATGTTCAGTCAATTGCATATGTATACGTTTTCCTGATAGATTTTTTGTGTCAAGGTCAGTACCATAATATGTTTTATAACACACCTATTTCTGTTGCCAAGGAATAATGTTTACATTACCGCGTTCCGGTTTTGAAGGATAAGGGTTTCTTGTAAAAGTAAAGGCACTGATTAACTTATGAAGTTATGACTCACGATAACGGGAGCAGTGGCAGTGCCCCTCAGGTTTTTGTGATTTAAAGCTCGGAGTGGCACTACAACTGTTATGGGTAGGCGTGTCGTTTACCATCAAGCGCAAAACTTCAAACTCAAATAATTTAAAGGTAAGCAAATTACACTTGAAATCATCGCGTTGATTAAACTCTACTATTCATTCGTAAGACAAATTCCCCAAGGAAGAATGAAAAAAAAAAAAAACTTTGTATAGAGAGTTGCTCTTTGTAAATAAATTATTCGTTCCGCTACTTAATATCATGAAAAAAGCAGTTCTACGGAATGATCAGCCGTTTTGTCGCTGTAAAAAAAAAATCTGTCGCTAAGAACAAAAGATTTCAATACGAAAAATATAAATAGACGACTTCGGCGGTCTACGAGCTTAATGGCGCCTTAGCGATATAATATGTAGACGTTTAAGGCTAGTTATTTCCATGCGAGCCTACATTTTAGGAGGTGAGGTGAGGGGACCGCCCCTCCTCGCCCGACTCGTTGTAAATTAGTATGAATAGAATAAGAACAGGCGGAGAAAATTTAACACTTATCCGACGTCGACAAGCGCCCGATGGCGAATCACGGCCAACGGGCGGCGCGGGCGCGAAGCAATTTTCAAATTTAGCAGATTCTCTCTACATATAAAAATTATATGTAATGTTAATTTTTTGATCTTTTATTTAGCCAGCTTTCAGGATTTTATATACCATAAACCATTTGATCTCGCAAAACTGTTTTTCACGCTTCCCCTCCGGTAATTTACCTTAACTATCTAATAGTAGTAAATATGAGGACTCTTGGTAGTCCAGTGGTTAGCAATGTGGCGATATAGGCGTCGGGTTGGATTCCTGGTAGGGGCAATTGGGGATATAAACTTTCCTGAATAGGTTCAATCTCGGTGTTGTGGGTTGATTCCCTAGACAGAAAATTTTAATAAGTAACCATTATCTCACGCCTAACCATAACCATTAACCGTACGTAATGTAAGATGTTATGTATGTGTTTTATAAATACGTTTAGTGTTTTGTCTGTAATATTATGTGCTCTGGAAATACTGTATTACCTACATTCTCAGTAATTTTTTTTTTCTGTACACACAATACACCTACCACCAAACGCACGACTTGTTTGTCCCGCCACTTGGTATCATTAAAAAAAAGAGACCAGAGAAACGAAATGGATCCGGAGTCACTACCCATACCACACACACCAAAAATTGATCCTATCTATAATCTAACCCGAATCAGAGGAGTCTTTCTGACATCGCAATTTTTTTTAGAAATTATCCTTTCAAATCTCGTCTCGTCCATTCGGCAATTGCGAGCCTTCGTTAAGATGCCGTCGAATAAAAAATATTATTAATGTAACTGACTTGTCGAGCATTAGATTTGATTAAAAAAAAAACTTTTTTTTAACATCAAGTGATGAGAAGAACAAGTCGTGCACCTGATGATAAGCTACACGCCTGTCCATGACAATTACAAAGTCACACAGAGCTTTAAATTTTAAATCTGGGTCGCACCGCCACCCTGAGACGTAAGTCGACAAGTCCCATGTGCTTGTGATTTCACCAGCACCCTTACCCTTCATACCGGAACACAGTAATGCTAACATTACTGCTTCGCGGCAGAAATAGGTAAGGTGGCAGTACTACCCTGGATGAACTCTTTCACAACGCGCTCTACTGTATTATTTACTACTATTATGTATTACTGCTATTATATACTTCATTATTGTTCGTCTTTTTTAACTTAAACACAGTGTGGTTAAATAAGTTTTTTGCTACTGATCTTAACCATTTATTATTTTATTAGCGTCAAAAAGGAAACCTTGGACACTATGTGACAATGTTCGGTTCTCGTTGATATTTTCGAACTTTAATGGATGAATTCAATTCAGTTCTTTATTGCTGTAACCATAATGTAATATAGGATGGAAAAGGCTTAAAGTTAACAGCGCATTACAGATTGTGTAGCACACTGTTAATTATACTTCGAGAGAAAGATGGGGTAATAGTTTCAAAAAATATATTGATCGAAACGTCGAAGAGAACCTACAAACTATATATCTGTTAATTCACGGAAGTTTACGGGGCCACTAATATTTGGAGTAATTAATTTACTGTGTGCGAGCGCTAGTTGCCTTGTGGGAGAGCCTTTGCTGCTCAATTAAGAGGGCGACGGCTTAGAAACCAGACGCTAAAGGTGAATGACAACATCGTTTTGAAACTTGTGCGTCGAGTAATACTCACAAACTTGGGAGTCTGGCATCCGTCCGACGTCCATCCAACATTCAACCGACATCCGTTCGACATCCGTCCGACATCCGTCCGACATCCATCCGACATCCGTCCGAAACAATTACTGTCAAATAAGTAATACTCGACCAAATTCTGTTAATTTGGTCGAGTATTACTTCGACCAAATTAACACACTCGTCACACGAGGCGAATGAAGCTTCATAATACTTCACATTGTTTTTGATTTGATCGAGTATTGCTTATTTGACAGTAATTGTTTCAGACGGTGAACGGTTGTAGATCCCCTGCACTGGGCCAGCGTTGCGGACCAGGGTCTTAAACATTATCTTTAGTGGAGACCCCTTCCCAGTAGTTGGGCGTCATTGATGATGATTCTCTGTGTGTATTAAGTACATACTTGAGAAGTGTATTTACTTGCGAAACGACCACGAAATTCTCTTACTCCCGTAATTACTCGTATCTTCCGTACGAATAGGTGAAATTTTGATAATAATTTATCAGTCAGTGTTGTGATGCATTGTAACGTAAAAAACGTCAAAACCATAAGTTACGTTCATTAGTGTTGTAAATGACGATGTGAAGAAATGATTATGTCGGTTGGCACGCTATCTGAGCATTTTCTCGTTTCCCAAAGTAACCTTTTTTAAGTAGCCATATCTCTCACGCAGCTCATGAAAGCCTTTTTCTCTTTTTACAGATAATCAGGTTGTGTATTTATATATTCTTCCATTTTGTTTTCAGGATCAGGGAAGTCATATACAATGATGGGCTCACCAGGCCCTGACGAAGGCGGTATCATACCTCGACTCTGCGACGCTCTTTTCGACAGAATCGCCAAACAGCAGAATCCACCAGCTCTTACTTACAAGGTAATTTTGCGATCAAAGGAAAAAGTATGTCAGACCATCAAACATATTAGGACGTACGAGAAATTCATCTCATACTTTTTTTTTCTTATAATATCAAGTGACGGAACGAACAAGTCGCCTGGTAAGCGACATGCCTGTCCGTAACAGTTACAGTACCACACACAGCTTTAACTCACAAAGATCACGCACAACGTCGTTTACGCTCTTATTACACGGACAATTTTTTCTGACCGGCTTAATGCGATTTCGCATTGATAAGTGTGGTAACCCCCCTTAGTCTCAGTTTACATTGACAAATAGTCGAGCAGTTTAAAGTGTCGTGACTTGTACATTTAAATGAAATTGCTCACATATAGTACAACACAAGTAACTGTCATTCTCGAGTTTTTTAACATTATGACGACAGACTGTGAAGACAATGGGAAAAGCTAGAACGACTGTCGTCTGACGATAAATAAAATATTATGATTAAAATGTAACGACAGGATAATAGCGGTTACTGTTGTCGTCACTTTTTATTTACCATTGTCTCATATCTGCAATAGACAAGGCGGCTGCCGTGATAAGATAAATTGTCGTCAAAATCCAGTGGGAACAGAGCTACGTATGACTGTCGTTCAACGATAAAACATCCACGACACAGTCACGACAGATAGTCGCGATATGGGAACAAGCTGAACGCGACAGTCGTCCAAAGATAAATAAAACTTTCCGTCGTAGTGGGAACGCTCCATCACGTAAAGGAAGTGAGTTTTTGTAATCATAGCATAATATACTTTATGTCAATTGTCTAACGTACAAACTAGATATGGGCCAACAAACCGGTTTGGCGCCTTTTAGAGAGTTCTCGCACGTTCTCGGGAATTCCCACAGCTACCGTATCATAATATAATACGGTAGCTTTTATATTATCTCGTCTGAACGTTACACAATTAAAACAAGATACATAATGAAATGTAAAATTTTGTTACGAAAATTAGCTTCCAGTTCGTTCCGGGACAAAGTAAATTATGTTGTAGCATAGGAACTTTTTTAATCAGTGAATATTTTGCGAACTATAAAATTATCTTTAATCAATGAGTAATCGTTAGTATGCAATAGAGCGATATTTATTAATAAAGATAACTGACGAAGATGTCCATTTTGATGTCGATCCTTCATTTGAGACAAATTTATTATCAATAAAGATTTTAGTGAAAACATTTCAGTATCAAGGATCCTTTACAAACGTAGCTTTTACGACACACCCGTCTACGACGACCTACCGTCTCTCAGGCGGAGGCCGTGGATTCGAAAAAGGGCTCGCACGTCAGAGTTTCTCGAAATATAATTTGAAATTTACTGCGAGGTTTTCGGTGAAGGAAAACGTGGTGAAACCTGTACGTCGAAGAATGCTAACCCAAAACCTGCATTGGGTCAGCATGGCGTACTATGCCCTAAACCCACGCCTGAGAGCAGACCCGTGCCCAGCAGTGGGACATAAAAATGGGTTGATGATGATGATTACATTTACAATTTTGGCATATAATACTATTTTTAATGTTGAATTGAGACCCAAAATATAGATAGATATTTTGATGTATTTCGACGAAAAGGAAAATTGGTTTTTCGACGTTAATACTGAAAATACGAAATTAACTTGATTTTTTTAATTGATAATGAAAACAGAAGTTACCGGCAGTGAATTACGTAGCTCGAAATACGATTGACTAAACCTTTCTCGATAAAAAAAAATATTTCATGGAATTTCACGTTCTAGGCTATGATGTTAAATAATTCATTTTCGTCCAAATTATAAGTTACTTCCATTAGTGTTGTAAGAGACGTGATGTCGACAGTTCTCGATCATTTTTAACAAGTGTCGTCTTTATCCTTCTTTTTAATTTTCTCGAAAATATATTGAAAAGAAGTACGTTAGAAGAGAAATAAGGCTTAAGTAGGATCCTAAAAGATGTTACATTATTCATGCAATTACTCAAAATCAACCTTAAAATGCTCGGAACAACCGGACCCGAACTAATTTAGTAAAAAAAGGATTCCTGACTTGAGACTTCTTGGTTTTAATTTCAACTCCACCATCTCCGAATGCTGAACCTCAGAATTAAGGAGGTTTTCTTCTTACCTCTTTATAACAAGCTAAATATATGATTGTTGACTAATAGACACATTGGATATATGCACGTAATTATAAATATGATTATTTATCAAAATTAATAATAATATGTCGTGAGGTTTATTATTAATAATTCTAACTATTCAATTTTATCGGTAAGCCTATTCATTACACTTGAGACTTTCGGGGGTTACTCTTTGCAAATAGATAACACAGTTATCATTTACAATAATTTTATTTAAAAATATTATTACTAGAAATAATCTTAAAGGCCTAAACGGACGGTTTATTGTCAACCAAGTAATACGTGATCTTGTATAATAAGGATATGAAACTATTTTTATGAATTTAAATCGCGTGTATTTGTTTTTTCAAACAAACCAACGTTTCGGGCCCTTTACAGGTCCCATGGTGGCGGTTGACTACCGGTACTACCGGCCCGAAACGTTGGTTTGTTTGAAAAAAAAAAAAAAAAAAAAAAAACAAATATACGCAATTTAAATCCGGAAAAATAGTTTCATTTCCTATGTGTAACAATTGCGGAAACCTAAGAACTCGACTTGTATAATAAGTTATACGTATTACCTCATAAATTAATTTGTAAAGACAACAGTGAGGGATAACTAGTTTTTTTTATTGCTTGTATTAATAAATTAATTATTTTTCATGAACACGTTGCCTTTATTCTTAACATATCGCTTTTCTAATAATCATGTTTCAAATTCTTACTCTCTTCGTTTAGGTGGAAGTATCCTATATGGAAATCTACAACGAGCGAGTCCACGACCTTCTAGATCCAGAAACTACGAGGCGATCGCTGCGTGTACGCGAGCATGCTGTATTTGGACCCTACGTGGACGGGCTGTCGCAGCTTGCTGTTACTTCTTTTCAAGTAAGTTCACCCGTACCTCTACAATGAAAGTGACCTAATAAAAAAGTCAACAAAATTAATTTATACAGTAAAACGGTTTTAAAAATGATAAAATTGTAAATCTGGAACTGGCCCATTGAAGCTCGAATGGTACAGAATGTAGACTATATAGCTCACTTTCATATGTTACAAATTCCACTCCCACGTCGGTATGTCGACGCCGTATATTGCTATAATCTATATTAATTGAGCTGTTCGTTCTGAAAATCGTCATATTTTTTTTACAGAAGCCACTTACTTTATTACTTAGGGACTTTCTTTTATAATTAAAATGGCCTGATCTTGATAAGATTAAAGACTTTGCTTAGCTGGTGAAAATTAAAGCGACTTAGTTCTTGTTAGGTCAAATGACAACAGAGAAGTTCAGTAAAGCAGTGGCCTTATAACGACTGGGTTTTTGTAATTTATATTTTTTATTTAAAAAAAAATGTACAGTAATCAGAAACAATTTTTCGGGTTATAAAGCTGGAGGTTTCATCATTATTTTCCAGGACTAACGACGCTACTACCTTTGGTATTACAAATTTATACATTAAATATACATAATAATGTGAAAATGTCACATTGCAACGCTCATTAAATCTTATTTTGCGTATTCCCAAAAAGTTGATATTTTGTGTTAAGCCACTTTCATTCTAAAGCTGCGATTTGTTCTAGATTAGAGCAGTTTGTAGGTGAATATTTTTCAAGTTATCTACGAATACTCTTTTCAAGACACCAGAAATAATCGCACTTCAGTGTAAAATAAATATAAAGGCAGTGTAAAATTTTTTACTAAAAATTTTGAGTAGGTATCATAATGACTATATCTTCAACTCTTTTTTACCATGTTGTCTATTTAACGATATGGTCATTTCGAAATCTAATCGTTTTGCTACAAAGTCATTGTAAGTTATAGTATTTCTACAGAGTTGGTTATGCGATCTAGTCCTTAAGGTGATCAGGTCATTTTGAAGATATAGTCATTATGATACCGACACAAAATTTAAGGTATCGTCTATAGTTAAAGTGACACCACTAGTTTGCGCTACCGCGTATTAGCAGTGCTTGCTACGATTTACGTAGCTAGAGTTGTGTAGCTGTAGTGCTACGTACATAAGATTACGTAGCGTCTGCGACAGTTCACATAAAAACACTGCGGTTGTTATGAAAACAGTTCCTCCAGCGCGCTTCATACCAACAAAAGTTGTAACATAATGAATATTATTTGTTCAAATTCAACGACATGAGAAAGACAAGGTTTTTCAAGTAATATTATATTTATATTTTCTTTCAACAAATGGGCCGAAGTTTGTGCAGATGTTTAAGACATTAATAGGTTTTCAAAAAACAAGAACCCTAGGTAAAATAATATGCCCTTTGTTAAAAAAAAAGTGTTATACTATATTACACTTTTACCATTCCGTTAGTGTATATGTAGAAGGAACATGAAATTACGAAATTTTTAACGTGGTAGCGTGGCCATCCAAATTAAACCTATGCTATCGTATCTATAGAGGAGACTTTCTAATAAATTACTAGTAATAATAAATATTCTCATCAATAAAATACCAGTCTGATTGCGTGTCTAAACTTGAAGAGTAATCGAGTGTTGTTCATAGTACCAAAGCCACTGTAATTTGTTATGTCCCCGTACCATTTACCACCACAGCAATGGGCGCAGCTCAGAAATCAAAGGCTTATGAAGCCATTTATCTAGACATTTATTAGATCCTTTTAACTGGTCGTATATTATTGGATCATATCATGTATCTCTACCTATTTTTTGTAGGTAATTGTCACGTACGCAATATAGTTCATGGTATTTGCAAGTAATAATAATGTTGTGTCCAAAATAAGGTAAATTCTTAACGTTTTTAATTTGTTTGTCGAAAGGACATCGTTTTGACTAACGATGACGTCACGATCTTACCTACTTAGTATATTAATTGTTATAAGTATTTATCAATTGCATCTGAACACATATACCGATTGAGTGACGGTACAAACTCAAATTACAAGCTCCTCCTTTTTTGAAGTCGGTTAATTATATAAAAATTCACGAGAATATGCAATAGAAGAATTCCAGTCAGGTAGTGTAACAGCCAGAAAAACGTTAGACATAAGAGAACATACGAGGTGGTACTATTTGTAACTAGTGGCCGAGATGAAAGTTTCTAAAAAGACAATCTGGTCGGCACAAAGAGAACAAATCGATGACGTAGTAGAAGAATGGCCTATTTCAAAAACACTAATTAAACTGGAAGGTCGTTTAAAGAAACTTAGGCTTAGGCAAAGTCTGCGTACCGTATGCCATGCCGGCACAATACTGTCACATGATTATTATAATCAACGTAGATTTCGGTGTCTTTAGACAATGTAATTTAGCACATTAGACATTAGAGTAGGCGGAGTACATTTACATGAAATTAATGGAAGTAATACCTACATGTGGAGTGGATAATATCTCTTTAATCACGGAATTATTGTATTTTGTTTTGAATTTTTAACGTGTAAGTAGTACTTAACTGTAAACTCCACAAGCGTTTGGTACGTTGTTGTCTTCAGGATCTGGTTGTTTGGTATGGAGTGTTTTTGATTGACTCCGGCATTATGCTCAAAACTGGAGTCCTTTGAGATGTGGCTGCACAGACGTATGCTTGACAAAAGGTCACCAATGTTGAGGTTCTTTGTTGAAAGTTGGAAATACTCAGGATTGTAAACATTCACGTTCCCTCTTTCGTGCGGCAGTTTCAAAAATGAGAATAGCCATGATAGTCGCTAACCTTCGTACAGGAGCGGCACACTAAGAAGAAGAAGAAGAAGAAGGAGTAGTATTTAACTGCTTTACTACGGCAGTGAATTAAAAAAAAATTTTGTGTGCACAAAGAATTTATGTGTATTATTTGAAGTTTAGGTTAATATACTGTGCCAATTCCGATCGGGTAATAATAGGCAAAAAATATATTTTTTGGGTTGGGCCACTATTCACATAAAGCAGTGTAGTGGTGGAGTCCAGCAGCAGGAAGGAGTTGGTATGCGATAGCGGTTGCTCTTTGAGTGCCGAGATCACTCCCCGAGATTTCCAGTAAACCAGGATTATTATTATTACTGATTAACGCACACACTCATAGCCTCGCACTAGGGAAACCCTTAGTCGCGGGTGCCTTGAGCACACACAAGTAGAACACCCCAAATTTCACCCAAACTGGCGAGAGAAACAAATGTAGACCATATAAATATTTCTCCCGGCCCGCGAATCGAACCCGGGACCTCTGCGTAGCAGACCGGCATGGTAACCATTCGACCACGAAGGCAGTTAGATATGCTAAGTTTTTGGGGGAGCTCAGGTGACACGAGTAGGACCCTACACACACCACACGCAAAATAGACGCCTATAAGTCGAGTTGCGGACAGCAAATAGCAAAAATTCGGAGATACTATCAGTACGATAGAATATGCCACGGTCGGGAGATCAGACATGAAAAGTGAGTAAATTGTCGAAGTGCGAGAAATAGCTTACAATAGCAAATTTAAGTAATTTAGACACTAATATTTTAGTAAATATTAGTTGGAAGTCTTTCAGGAATCAGAAAAAGTAAGGGTGTTTACTAGAAAACGTATTATTAAAGAGAGAGAGAGAGAGAGAGATGAAAATGATAGTTTCACTGGTAGTGTCCGTAGTTTCACACTACAGTGTGAGTCGAGCGTTAACAACTACTGTACAAGACCAAACAATCAAATATAAAATTATTTTATTTGACGTGCAATGCAATAAAAAATAAAGACAAACAAATGCCTAATAAATCAAACATGTCCAAAGAGTCGATGATTTAGCTACAGAGGACTATAAAGTACATAGTTGATATTCTTTCATAGCTAGTTATTGTTCAAAACGTACCTAAAAATCAACAAGTGCACTGTAACAAAATAAAAACCATTACAAAAAATTTAAAATTTTTTAAAATTTAAAATTTAAAAAAACAACTTCGCATGGGGCACAAATTAAGAGAAACGGGCTAGCCGGTCGGTTTATTAGCCATTGTGAACTGCTTCGTGTGAATTTCCATTGAGTTACTGCCTTTTTTACAAGAGGAGGCAGGTCATACTGTTCAAAAAGTACTTATGGAGTTTGTTGAATGAAATAAGATAACTGCGAAACAATAATAGAGCGAAGGAATTTTTTCTAAGTGTTCGATCTTTGTATTAATAATTATAACAAACTAGTGGAGTAACTTCACATAAAAATATTTGAATATCAATTCAATAAAAATTTAAATAATAGACCTGTCAAATATGTTATGATAAGGCGACAAAAACAAAGAAGTCAATTTTAGAATTTGAATAGAAAGGTTGAAAAGGTTAAAAAAGATTATGAATACAAAAAGACACAAAAAGAGGGGTACGTGCGGAAGCCCTCGTTTCGTATGCACCCTATCCCATGTGCCCCCAATAAATTTTATTTAAGAGGACACCTATTCTGTTATGGTGACTTTAAAGTACTTTTTTTTATAACATCAAGTGACGGGACGAGCAACTCGTGCGCCCGGTGGTAAGCGACACGCCTTCCATAATAATTGCAGTACTGTTGAAAGCTTTAAATTGCAAAGACCTGAGGGTCACTACCACTGCGCCCGTCACCCTGAGGGATAAGTTGACAAGTCTCATATGCCTGTAATTTAACCAGCACCTTTACGCTTCAAAACCGGAACGCAGTAATGCTCACATTATTGCTTGGCGGCAAAAATAGGTAAGATGGCAGTTCTTCCCTGGACTTAACTCTTTCACAAGGAGCTCTACTGCAACTTTAAATAACTATGATTTACAATATTTATTTCATAAAGCATATACCGACACAACCTGAAAGAGCTAAACGGGTCAATTCTATAATTTTTTGTCATCTAAGTATGCAGGAGTTGCACCTTTAAGAGTTTTTGTTCCACTATAATTTAAGATGTCCTAAATGGCAAATTTTGAATGTC